AGCGTTATTTAGTGCTTATGCCTCCCGGACACATAGCCGCTGCTCGGCCTGCTCCACACAGCCCAAGCACCCCTCCAGCCAAGATGGCCAACAGCATGGACACAGCCACGGCTGACATGCTGCCTCAGACAGCGGACCTTGTGCTTGACCCCCCGGACGATCAATATGACAAAATTGCACAGGCTGTAGCTGCATCGTTATCTCCAACGATTACAGTGGCAGTAGAGACGTTTCCTCTCAGGTATAGAGAAACGTAGGAAGGAAATTGGAGAGCATGATAAAAAGCTCACCGATGCTGAGCAATGGCTGTCTGATCTGGAGGAAGAGGTACAATCCTCACAAACCACTGCTCATCAAGCTGCTCAAACACAGCAATACATTTTGGAAAAGCAGGATGAATTGGAAATTCGTTTGCGCAGGAACAACCTGCGAATCATAGGTCTCCCTGAATCCAATAACTCCCGTTCCCTTGTTGATTTATGCACCACATTCATTCCTGGAGCTTTGGGCATTACTACCGCATGCATTGTAGACAGAGCACATCACCTGGGTTCTCCATCCAATGAAAGAAGCTTCCCAATGTCAGTGATAGTCAAACATCACAATTACTCGGACAGAGTGGCCATTCTTAAATCCTTTTGCAATTCACGATCTCTCTAACTAGATGGCCATAAATTACTATTATTCACGGAATACTCTCAAGAGGTATCCCCCAGGTGCAAAGCCTTCCAACCTATCTGCTCTGCACTGCACCTGAAAGGTATTAAATTCACACTTGCATACCCCGCCACTCTTCACCTGATCAACCAAGTAGGGGAACCTAAATTCTTTTCACATCCAGAAGAAGCAGCACAATACATGCAAGCTTACCTGAATGTAACCTATGAAATACCAAGCTCCGTGACCACTTCTCACGTAGCAGGTCCCAGGGAACAACATAGCCCATGGAAAGACGTGCCAAAGAGACCTCATATGGCACAACACTGAGACTCTGGTGATATGAATAATGTAGTCTTCGAGTTTACACTTACTCGTTGAAAATATTGGTGTAGCCGTTGCAGTTATACAGCGCAAGTTTCATAACCTTTATGGTTACCCAGCTGTTAATTTCCGTTGTCTATTTTAAAATGGTTAATACAGCCTTATCCTGCTCTGGCTCTTGATGTTCAGTTCAGGACTGTTCCAACTCTAACTCTGATACTCTATGGAGAAGCAGTGGGATTCATTATTTTACCTCTGCTACTGTCCCAGCACACCATCTGCAAGAGCTCCTGGTAACGCTGTTCAAAGAAATGGGCTACATGTGGAAAAATGTGAAGTCCAGAACAACACTATGTTTTTTTTCTCATGCATATTCTAATTTTAGTCCCTATTGGGCTATAGTTTTGCTCCTCTTCCTTTTCTGCCCCTCTTCCTTTTTAGTCTCTCCTACACTGGGAACCAAGCCCCCCATCATATGTCATTACTTTACATGGATATTGACATGCGGTGGAGAGAGGGTTTGGGATAGTGGCTACATATAAATAGTCTACATATGAAAGATCTGTCACCGTAAAGTCACAATGATACGTGTTATTTCATGGAATGTCTAGGGCTTGTGGTCCCCCCATAAACGCATGGCGATATTACGTCACCTCAAACATCTCAAGGCAGATATAGCTCTCTTACAGGAAACTCACTTGGCACAAGCTGACTTCTCATGAATGAAGAAGCTTTGGGTAGGCCAGGTTTACGGTTCAACCTCGGTCAAAGGTAAAGCAGGGGTCTTAATTCTTTTATAAAAACGCCTATCATTTGAGTTGGTATCCGCTAATGTAGACGATGAAGGTCAAAAATCGTCTGATCATACATCTTCCAATGTTCTTCCAAAAAACTACTTTTCATGTGTCCCCATATCTTCACCTCCCTATGATAGTGGGAGGTGGTTTCAACTCCCTTATAAATCCCAGGACCATCTGGAGAACTTTTTGCGATAGTCACTGGTCTTCAACTGTCTAAGGACCCTCTAGAGAATGTTGCTCCAGTGCCGTTGAGACTTAACAAAATGATCTCCTAATGCAAATAAACCCTGGCTTACAACCTGTTTTATGGCTGCCAGATGCACCATCCTAAAGAAATGGTCATCTTTGTCTCCACCAACTATAGCAGATTTCAAACAGGACCTTAACGGATTACTCCACAAGGAGAAACTGGACTTAAACCTCTCTGGTTCAAGACCCATGGAAACTTTCAATGCAAATGGCTCCAATACATCAACAGAATGTTCCCATCAACTGAACAAACCAAGCTCTTGACACAGCCTCAAACTGCTTCCTCTAACTCTCAAACAAATTATACTCATCATAAAATATCAGAAAGCATCGAATAAATATGGCTCCCAGGCCCACACCCCATCCTCTCCACAGTTTACTAAGTTCACCACCATCGGTCTAGCACCTCCACTCTATTCATCTGGTACATCAGTTTAAAGGGGTTATTGGTTCCCCCCTCTCCTCTTTTCTCCTTCCACTCCTCTTATCTCTCTCCTCCTCTCTTTTCCTCCCCTTCTTCTCCCTTTCTTTTCCCCCCTCCCCTTTCATCGTCCTACTCACCCATTCCATTTACCCCCTTGTCTGCCAATTTGCCCTCTAGATGATACACTTCCCTTTTGGACATAACCTACCAAATGGGGCATGATCCAAAATTATATTATTCATGTCAACCCTACATTTGTTTTTTCTTCTTTTAATACTGTAGTATTAGTCTCTTCGAGCTTTAAATCACAACCCTGGAGATGAAACCAAATCCCACCTAACATTCTCTCTAGACTACCAATTTTGCTTGTGTTACATCTCCCTAACATCTAAATTAGATCACCCTGCCTATCCCTCATCCAGGGGATAGAAACTCAAAGCCTCTTACTAAAAGCCTGCAAACTTTATCTATTTATCGCTCAATATATACCACATTCTACCCCTCTTCATAAATTACCATTTACCTTTATGATTAACAATTAGGGACAGAGAGATGGTTGTTTGTAGGGGTTATGTCCATGAGTCTCTGCTTAACGGTTAATTGAGTGCGCTATGTTACTTCAGTTGTATTTTCTGTACTACAAATTCAAATCCGGGTGAAATGCCTCCCTTCCTTCCCCTTGACATGCTCATTTTGTGTAATGTTGTATTTTATATGTTTGTAATGTTGAAAACCCAATACATTTTCTTTAAAAAAAAAAAAAGTACTTACTTCCATATGATTATGTCATGCATGTGGCTAGTGCTGCAATCCAGAGGTTAAAAAGCTCACCTACCCAGGGCAGAGGCAGCTCAGAGGGAAAGACCAGAGAGCTGCTACCTATAAAGAACCATATGAAGATACATAGCTGTGTTAGCAAATACTTTACAATGTTATCTCAAGCCTCCTATTAATTTAAATGTATGTGTATAGTTTGGCATTTTCCTCATGATCATACCTGTTAAGGCAGTGATGGGAAGACCTGAGGCTTTAAATGCACTGAGCAGTCAAAACCACAAAAAAAGTTGGCCAAGGCATCTGAAAAAAAAGGGGGTGGTGTGGGATATATAACAGGTTTGTATATTACTGCAAACCCTATACCGCTTGCACATATAATGCACTAATATATCCAGCTACCTATATAGATAAGACATCCACTGGCCCGGGTTGTGGCGAAAAGGTCCTTGGCCTTATGAACATGGAGACAAGTTGCTTTGCCAAGGTATGCCCCCATGCTGAGGGCCTTGTAAGGCTAAGGAGGGAGATTGCACACTCTTACCCCCCTTTCCTGACCTGGGTCTGGTATGGAGTTTTAGCGGAAGCTCACACTTTTTTTTTTTTTTTAGCATGGAGAACCCCCTCCTTTTTTTATACAGAATCTATACACAACCCAAAGTTCCTGGGTAACTTCACACATTGTTTTTTTTTGCATGAAGTATCACTTTAAAATCCATTCCAGACTCCAATGATACAGTTTAAATTGCTGGTAAATAACATGTCATTGCCAGCTTAAAAAAACAAAACAAAGAAAAGAACAAAACCTATCTGAAAATACCCCAAAATATATAGCAGACCCTTGGAGGGGTCTGAGTGATTTTTTTTTTTTTTTTTTAAAGTTTGCAATGAAATGCAATTTGCCAGCAATTGTAAACACTTATTTCCTTTATAAATGTCAGTGCTACGGCAATACTTTCCGTATATCACAGAGAGGCACCCCTATACAGGCAGCATTAGGGCACTCCCCATGCATGCTATTTAAATAATTAAGTATTTTTAATTTTTCACTTTAAGCATTTAAAAAAAAAAAATCACTGCTCCTGGATGAAAGGAAAAAAAAGGTTTTTTTTTTTGCAATAATACACATTTCCCAGGGTAGTGAACATCCCAGACCCTCATGCTATTTTTGGACAGCCACTTGCCTATTAGCACAGAAAGTGAGCATTTCTAATTTACCAGATTCAGCTCCCATTGATTTTAGTGGGGTTCAGATTTGGGATCCAAACATATTTGAAGTTTGCCAAACTGCTATGTAGAAAAGGCTAGGAAGATGCTAAAGGACAGAATTCCTAATCGCATTTACAATCCTGAAACTTCAGATCTCTAGTGGTAAGCCATATGATGTTTTAGCACAATTGCAAAGCAGAAAGGCTCTGCTTCTGTCTTCGAGTTCATTGGGTGAAGCAAGGGGTGGACTGGGACAAATTCTATTTATAAAGATTATTTTAATGGATCCATCAGCATTCGAGGAACAAGGGAATAATAGAATAATATCTTTCAGTCAATTTTTCTGGAAAATAGTCATATTGGGCTCAATTCACAAAACAGTATCTTCCACATTAACCACTTGCCTACTGGGCACTTATACCCCCTTCCTGCCCAGGCCAATTTTCAGCTTTCAGCGTGTCACACTTTTGAATGAACTCTACTCATATGAAATTTTTATCTGTACTCATATGAAATTTTTATCATTTTTTTTAGACAGATAGAGCTTTCTTTTGGTGGTATTTAATCACCTCTGGGTTTTTAATTTTTTGCTAAACAAACCAAAAAAACTGAAAATTAAGAAAAAAAAAAGTTTCTTCTTAGTTTTTGTTATAAAATTTTGTAAATAAGTAATTTTTCTCCTTCACTGATGTGCCCTAATGAGGCTGCAGTGATGGGCACTGATAGGTGGCACTGATAAGGAGGCACTGGTAGGTGGCACTGATGGGCATTGACAGGTATCACTGATGGGCACTGAAAGGCAGCACTCATATATGGCATTGATAGACGGCACTGATAGGTGGCACTGATAGGCGGCACTGACTGGCACTGTTAGGTGGCACTGACTGGCACTGTTAGGCGGCACTGATAGGCAGCACTGACGAGCACTGATAGGCAGCACTGATGTGCACTGATAGGTGGCACTGATTGGCGGCACTGATATGTGGAACTGACTGGCACTGATAGGTGGCACTGAAAGGCAGCTCAGATGGGCACTGATATGTGGCATTGATGTGCACTGATAGGCACTGATATGTAGCATTGATGTGGCACTGATGGGCACTGGAAGATGGCATTGATGAGCACTGACAGCTGGCATTGATGGACATTGACAGGTGGCACTACTGGGGCTACACTGATCATGAGTACCCGCTCCCTCCCCCCCAAAAATGCACAAAGTAGAAGAGGAGGGGGGGGAGGAGGGCATAAAGTGGAATCACCCATTTAGAGTGAAGATCTGCTTTAATGCAAAAGTTCATGTTTTAAAGTAAAAAGTGTGCAAGATACAAAGGTACAATGTTATGTGCCCAGAAGGGGGCACTCTTTACGTCTGGAGGAAAAGAGATTTAATCTCCAAATACGGAAAGGTTTCTTCACAGTAAAATCCGTAAAAAATGTGGAATAGACTCCCTCAAGAGTCTGTTCTGGCCAGCTCAGTGGATTGCTTTAACGTCCCTAGCGGTCTGATTATGTCCATATTTCTGTGCTCAAAGCGGTACATTTTTTGCATGGAAATATGTATTTTTTTTATTGTAGGCCTGTAATTTTTAGGAATAATTTACTGAAATCTGTCCGAACAAGAGTCTAGTAAACATCCCGGGTATATTAAAATTGGAAACATGAAATCATAAATTATAATTTAATAAATAATCATAAACAATAATAATATAATAATAATACATTTAATTCAATAATATAATCAAACCAAAAACACTGAAATTTGAAATATAGCGCCAAGTTCGCACATCGCTGAGCAAAGTCGCAAAATCGTTTTCAGTGTCTAATGACAAATTTCCCCACGAATCATTATCACTCAATTCTGCAAGTAGTTCTAATTACTATCGCTGTTCTCTAGCTGGTCTAAAACCGCTCATGAACAAAAGGGCCGCTTTTTGGACGCCATGGACATTTCTTAGTTTCCAGGCAGAAAGAACAGTAAAAATGCAGGCAGGGCACAGGACAAAGCACTCGGGACAAAATGTATGTGAAATGGTTTGATACAGTAATGTTTTACTATGTGATTTTAGTGAATTTAGTGAATGCCACTTTTTGCCATTTTCAAATTTCCCGCCGGTTCCGTCCCCATATGTCCCGATGCTTGCAGGGGACAGAACCTAGATGACAGATGTCGGCATCCGCCGGAGGACATTGCCGGGGACACTGCAGGAGGGACATCGCGGGAGCGCAGGACAAGGTAAGTAAAGAACAGATCCCGGAGCAGTGCCGCATGGTATTCCCGAGTGTAGGTCGGGGTTACCGCTTGTGGTACTGAAACTTTACCCTGAGCTACACTCGGGAATACCGCCAGGGAGGTTAAAGAAGGTCTAAATTATTTCCTAGATACACACAATAAAACTGAAAACTAACATTTATAGGTAAAGTTGATCCAGGGAATATCCGATTGCCTCTCAGGGGATCAGGAATTAATTCTTTCCCCTGCAGGAGCAAATTGGATCATGCTTTGATGGGGGTTTTTTTTGCCTTCCTCTGGATCAATGGTGGATATAGAATCATAACTTTTTTTTTGGTTGAACTGGATGGACTTTTGATTTTTTCAGCCAGACTAACTATGTAAGTATGTTATAATTGATAACATAATGAACTTACGATTTGAAATATATACGTATATGATGCAAAAGGGCTTTTTCATGGCATGTATTTTGTTTGTCACTTGTATTAGATGCAATGGGGTTGAATTACTAAAACTGGAGAGTGCAAAATCTGGTGCAGCTGTGCATGGTCAGGTTGTTCAATTGAACTTTGAGTAAAAACCTGGAAGCTGATTGCTTTCTATGCAGAGCTGCAGCAGATTTTTCACTTTCCAGTTTTAGTAAATCAACCAATATATCTTGTTAGTGCATTAAGGAGATGGTGGTCCTATCTCCAATAGCACACAATGTTTGCAGTATAGTGCTAAACTTGTGGTAGTATATATGCAGACGTATGGCGCAAATACAGCCTGGAGCACAGAGAGAACTTGCATCAAGGGAAGATGTGTTCATTAGCAATGTGATTGTACATTACTATACTGAAAGAACCTATTTATTTATTTCAGGTACTTATATAGCTCCATCAATTTACGCAGCACTTTACATATATATTATACATTCACATCAGTCCCTAACCCTCAAGGGGCGTACAATCTAAGGTCCCTAACTCACATTCATAGAGACACAGACTAGGGCCAATTTAGACAGGATCCAATTTACCTTCCAGCATGTCTTTGGAGTGTGGGAGGAAACTGGAGTACTCAGAGGAAGCCCACGCAGGCACAGGGAGAACATGCAAACTCCAGGCAGGAGGTGCCGTGGCTGGGATTTGAACTAACGACCCTAGTACTGCCAGACGGAAGTGCTAACCATTTAGCCACTGTGCTGCCAACCTCATTGCAAACCCTGTGGCATTTGATTTGCTGCCTTGTTATTAAGAATTGTCTGTATATGGCAATTCATGAAGGTTAGCTTTGATGAGACATGATATGTGGTCTCCTAAACTGTGGATGGCAGAGGTTTAGTACCAGGGACCAGGAGATCAGATATACGGCAGATGGAAGTGGTTTGGTATACATGCTTTACAAGGCTTTATAACTCCTGTACCCAACCCATCTGCCTAACAATCTAGGCACTACACCACCTGGAAGATAAATATTTACCGAGAACATAAGAACTGCTATATGAACAGAGGTGGTGGTATTTACTGGGCTCTTAAGTTACCAGTTCACAGACTTCTTGTTGATACACAAGAAGAGTTGTAGCTGAACTACAGTAACCTTGCTAGGAGGATATACTTTGGTGATTATAGGTTAATGGCATTGTGGATCTGGGTGAGTCTATAATTCAGTCTGAATATGTGTGTATTCTCAACTCAAAAAATATTACCATACTATTGTGGTATGCTTGTTGTGCACCCAGTTGTTTTTTTACTTGCAAACTCTTTTTTACATCGTGAATGAAAAAATATTTATACGAAACAAAGATTCACATGGAATGGACATTCCAGATAATAATATTATGAATAAGGAGTGCAGAGACATATTTGAAGTTGTTTTAAATGTTTATGTAAATTGTCTTTTCTGCAGGGTTTTTGTATAACAATAATAAAAGTAGAATTTGTACGCTTGAATAGGGAATTCTGATGGTCCTTTTTATAGATCATTTTCCTTTTTTTGGGGAATTAAAGTGTTACTAAACGCACAACAGTAAAATCAGTCTGTATATGCAGTAAAGCATGCTTGTTATACTCACTGTGAAGCCTAAGGGGTTAATGCTCCACAATGTGTAAAAAATGCTGTTTGATCCTACCTTCTCTAATCCTTCCCGTTTTCCATAGTCCCCAATCCATCTACTGATAGTACAGAGCCCTTGGAGACACTCTGCATATGCTCAGTTTGGTGAGTATTGCTAGAGAGGGTGCATGTGTTCAGCACAGGGCCAGCAAAAAGCTTGTGTGAATGCTCCATCTACTGACCAGTGGTGCAGCCATAGGGCCCTTTTAGGTGTGACCGAAATAGACAATGATCTTGGTAGATGCTACAGTAGGTCAACTGATGCTTTGGCCAAGAAATCTGCCAAAAGATTCAGCTCTTTCAGGGCTGTTACTATCCTAGTTGGGTCCATGTCAGAATTCAAGGCTGTTTCTAAGTTGGAGAGCCATGCTTTCAAGGCCTTTGATATAGCAATTAAAGTGTTACCAAACCCAGGACAACATGTACTCTCTCTGGTCTCCTACAGTACACAGAACATGGAAATGCAATCATTTTAGTAAATATAAACTGCTACATACCTTTTCTCATCAGCAGTTAGAGCAGTCTTGTGACTTCTATCAGTGTTCAGCAGAGCACTGGTTAAAGCTTGTAGGAGGAATTTTATTTCTGCTATAGGAGGATGCAGAACCTTTGACCTCTGTCTGGACAGTACTGATTGGCCCTGTGCTGATCACATGCACATTCCCAAAGAAAAAAAAACTATCTAGCAATTCACACCAAACTGAGCATGTACAAAGTGTCTCCACACACTATGTCTTATCAAGAGATAAGAGGGGGACACTGGAAGAAGGGGAGGATCAGAGAAGTCAGGATCAAACAGCCTTTTTACACAATGCAGAGGATTAGCCCCTTAGGTTCCACAGTGAGTATATCAAGCATGTTTTACTGCATACTGCATATGGACTGATTTTACTGTTGTGGGTTTAGTAACACTTTAATGCTATTGCTGGACATAGAGCTGACCCAGGCACCGCATATATTTTCTTCAGATCTGCATCCACGCTGCGGTCCATCAGGTCCTTAAAGGTCACTGAGTTCTCTACTGGTAGGGACATGGCAAGGTAAGCGCTGGAAGGCTGTGTTCACCCCCGGAGGAGATTAACAGAAGCTTAAGTCCACTGTCTGCATCAAATAAAGCTGACAAAATCTGTTTTTTAAATTAGGCCTTTTGTATGGCTTTTCCCATTCATCCTCTATTAATTTGTTGATTTCCGCCATAATCCTCTTTCTTCAGGTTTGGAAAACATTTAATGATCTTTTGAGAAGGCTGCCCTTCCAGTTCCTAATCTAGAGTCTTGTTAATAGTCATTATGAACGGGCCCACCAGGTCAAAATCAAAGGCAATAGGTTCCACATCCTCTGTCTCTGAAGAAGCTTACAATATAGATCTCCAGGTGAAGAACGTGATCCCATAGGTTCCCTACGCTTCTAGTTTGAATGCTTTAGCAAGCCTGAAATCTTGTGCAGTTTCTTCCACCAGTTAGCGATTATAATTTTTAAACTTTTGAGCATACTCTTTTCTTGACTGTTACCACCACCTTCAGGCAATCTTTATACATTTGTTTTCCTTGTATTGCTGGCTGCTTGCATGGCCAGCATAAGCCATGGGCTATGTGTTAGATTGCGGCTGTGA